TAATAACGATGTCACTGCCCTGATATCTAATATTGCCAGGGCTGCCAGTTTTTCGGATACGCGTCCGAATTAAATATGAAGCCTCCCAACTTCCTAGAGCCAATCTCCTTCTAACATCTAGTCCCCTATCCGTATGACCACATTAACTATGATAAAATAAACAATACTTCGATCATTTTTAGACCAAAATGTATTCAAGGGCGATTTAAGTCATATTTCGATACCGTAAAGGGGTGTTCAAATTCCAGAATAAACAAGATAATTTTCGCTTACTATATACATGTACAAAATGCATATGGACACGGTTTAACTTTAGAATTCTCCAGAATGCAGGAAATGGATTAACATTACTTTAACAATCATAAAAGGTATCCAAAATCAGAAATTTAAATTCATCTCTATATGTCGTTTATGATTTCGTCTTCTATGATCAGTCTAATGCTTCATCGAATTTAAACTGTAAAAAGTTGCTCGGTATTTCGTTCCATCCGAACGACTAGTCACAATTTTCATATCAACTCCACAGACGCTGTTCTGGACAGATGAAAATAGCCGAGGTTCTTCTTGACGCACTCTAGGAACATTCTAGTTGCTGGTCAATTCCTTAAATTACAGCTCAACTATCGAGTCACCCAACATTTGATAAATCAGCAACCGTTTGAAGACTTGAAATTCAGTTTTAGGTTTGGGCTTCGGCTATCGAAGATAAACTCTGGTTATTATTAGCATATGATAATTTTGAACAGTGAATTTCAGTTCTCTTTTTTTGGGTAGTGGGAATGGCAGTGTGAAGTAATCTTAATTTGGAATTTGGCCCGGGCAGTGACATCGTTATTATCTTTCGAAGAAAGACAATTTGTGAAATAAGACTGTCATGGTGTTTTAGTCTCCAAAGTTTTAAAATTTCTTTTCATATTGTGAAGTAATCTTAATTTGGAATTTAGTCCGGGCAGTGAAATCGTTATTATCTTTCGAAGAAAGACAATTTGTGAAATTAGACTTGTCATGGTGTTTTAGTCTCCGAAGTTTTAAATTTCTTTTCATATTGATTCCAATGAAAAATTACCGTTTTCGTTAATCTATCTTTCGTTTTTAAAATTAAATTCATGTAGCGTTCGTTCCAGTTTTTCTTAGCTTATCAACGTGGACTTTAATTGAAAACATCAAAATGAAAACATTCATAGAGACAGACCCCTTTTATGTTTTTTTTCCATGACAGACGACCCTCTCGTTTAAAAGAATGAACAGATTATGATAACATTTCGTGATTATAACTTTTTAAAAACAGAATGTCGTAAGTGTATTGTTAGATATCTGGCCTTTCAAATGGTTCGTCTATCCGTAAGCACTGACAGTATATAATTTGAGCGTGCACGCGACCTTTCGATAATAGTGTTATAATGATGATGTATTACATAGATAATTTTATAATCCCTTATCATAATCTTAAATTACCCCATCTCATGATAATAAGCCACTCTTCTCTTTATTTCTCACTTTAAAAATCATATCGTCTCATCCCAAACATGGCTTGGCACGTGACCTATACAAATATCACATGGTCCGAAACAATAACATCACGCTGACTAAAAACTGGTTGGGATAAAGAATAACCTGAATGGACAATGTGGTGACCACCAAGGGCTAATCTAATGGTTCAAGGTGGTTCTTTTGTTACATTTAATTTTCAACGCCATTTGCTTTTTTGCTTGATATTTGCCCTCCCGGAGCGCGCTTACTACGTCACCGCACGCGCGAACCCTATCTATTGTTGAACTCGGTGCCGTATCTGAAACGAATTAGATGAACTCTCATTAGCGACATCATTTACGTTTTACACCTGTTAGTAAGAAGAGCTAACGGTCACTAGAAACTGACCACTGTCCACCAATAGATTAAAGAAACTTTACCCGGGACTGGCCACTCATTAATTAGCAACAGTGAAGAAAATTGCCAGGCGTCATTGTAATTTTGTCGGAACGAATGGTTAAAGTCTTTCATCATTAATAAATTCTTTGTTTTCAGTTGATAAAGAGACTGTATTTATCATAATTTAATTATATTGTATCTATAGACAGCTGCACAGTTAAAGTATGATGTCAATATGTTTCGCTAAATTTAAAGTAATTTTATTAAAAATTCCAACCGTTTCTAAAGTTTCCATTTTTAGATTAATAAAGCACACCTGGGCCCGATTCCTAGAAAATTCTTAAAGTAAGCGCAAAGTCATGCTTCACTTTTTCTTACGTAAGAAACTTATAAAAATACCGTCCCTAGAAAATTCTCAAGACCATTCTTACGTAAGCACAAGTCAAGTATAAGTCTAAGCACATTGTGATTGGTAAAGTTTACCATAAACTGAGACTACGATGCTCTTTAACGTCATAAAAATTGACGTTATAGGCCTATGGTTGATTTAGATGCATTTGACATGTCCCCAATAGGCCTACACATATAAAATGTGCCACAAGATAAAAAACGCAGACACATACAAACTAACTGAATAATTGTGAGAGTGCCTGATCTTAAAGTAGCCTGTGTGTTTGTAACCTATTGTTTACTAATTGGCAAATAAATAAAAGCGTTTAAGGGTAGGCCTTGAAGCGAAATTTTCTATAGGCCTAGCATTCTTAATTTGAAATTTCTTCTGGAGAAGGATTTTCTCTGTCTTGTAATTGTCTCTTTGGTATCAAAAGGTGTCGGAAATGCCGTCGAATAACTCTACGGTCAGCCATCTTTTTGAAGCAGAAACAGACTTAAGGTTGGTAAGCAAGCCGTATAGCCTACCTTGCTTGGGACTTGTGCTTATATTGACTATGTTTAAGAACGAAGTTGTGCTCAAGTTCAAGTTTTTTCTTGGAACGCATAATAACGTTCTTGTGCTTACAATGAAGTCTACTTTTAAGATCTAAGCACAAGAACGTTCTTAAGAATTTTCTGTGAACACAAAATAAAGTAAATTTACTTAAATGCAAATTCTTCTTAAATCTAAGCACAAGAACGTGCTTAAGAATTTTCTAGGAATCGGGCCCTGGAGGTCACTAAGGCTGGAATATTTCTTATAACGTGTTCAAATGGCGATTGAATTTATTCTCGATATAATGTACTAATTTAAGGTATAAACTTCAATTTAATCTTATTTTATGACACATTATCAGTTCATATACATAAACTTTCCTTTTTTGGGACGAATTATTGAAAGCCGAAGGTAACTATATATAAAGCTCTAATATTTAATGAAAAATGTTACAAAACGCGTTGATTTTACATTCTTATACAAAACACTGCCTTTAAGTATTAATTTTTACTTGTTTTTTTTACTCCTTCAAAAGTTTAGGAAGTCCATTTAACGTTTAATTCAAATAACGTATCTAATATACTGTTTTATACTAGAACGAAAAAAAAACCTCCCAGAACTTAAACCTGCTTGAATGGGCAGTCAGTTGAACAATGTAAGTCAGTTGAACAATAATCAGTTTATTAGGATGGTTTTGTTGATTTGGCCAATCAACTTTATTTCCCATTATCGTATTACTTATATCCCCAAAATATCCACCAAAATTACTATTTATTATACTGATACAAATGAGTATGATCTATTTTCTAATCTTAAAGATCAAAACTAAAATGTAAGCGAGGTAGTCTCGATGTTTAGAAATTCCAGGTAATAATAAACACAATCTAGAACGACGCTGAACCGTTAAAACTTTGGTTTAGATCGGAAGGGTTTGACTTTTTCTTTTCAACATATTTTTGAATATTGTCTTTAACTTCATTATATTTATTTAGCGTATATTATTTTGATGAAAAAATTATTTTGATGAAAAAATTATTTTGATGAAAAAATTATTTTGATGAAAAAATTCCGAGACTTTTGTGGTGTCTTAAAGAGTCGAATATCTCACCTTACGTTTAAAAAGACACCAGAATAAAGGACTATTATTTATATAATTTATAATGTAATGGAACTTTTTATGTAAATTAATTTCTTTTACTCCTTTGTTAATCTATTAATATCATAAAAAAGTTAGATTATACTAAGAAAATTCTGGCCAGTTATTGTTGTGAGATTTGTAATTTCCTGTTAATTTCCTAAATGGTTTTAAATATTCAGCACAAACTGTTATAGTACATGAACTAAAGTAATTTGTGTTACGATCGAGTAGTTTGTAATACCTGGAAACACATATTTTTTTAAAATTTAGACAACTTGTGGGAGTGTGTGTTTGATGAACAATTTCTTGACAGATCTGTTTTTAGTTACAGTTATATTAAAGTTAAAATAAATCTTAGTTTGTTTTTGTAAAATTTATTGCATTGTTTTGTCAATTTTACGATCCAATATAGCGCTGGAAAAGAACAAAAGGTTTTCATTTCTGGAGTTTATATTTCGGCAGGCAATTTGGATATCCTAGCAAAATTCTATTGTTATATACGTGACAACCTAGAGAACGAAATTACCGCATATATGCTAAAAAATAATAGTGTTGATGTTAAGAATTTTTTTTAAATTCTTTGAAATTTGGTGAAAGATTTGAATCGTTACTTCATGCTATTGTCATAATATTCAATTTTAGAAATAAATTTATCTCCTTTTTATACCGTTTTATTATTTCAATATAATCTTTTTTATTTGAAGCTTTTATTCCTTTAATGCTGGTCACATTTGAGTATCTTTGTTTCTTTTACATAATTTGTCAATAAACACTGTTTCATTGTCAATGAATCTCAGTTTTATTGAACCATGATGCAGACGAGTAAGCAGAGCCGAGAGGGATTATTGTAACGGTACACGTCGATTTCCGAGTCAAACTGGGATTTCCGGAAAAATCGATCAGAAATTAAATCACAATCGGCACGCGCCGACATCAACCAATCAAACAGAAGAAAACGCTAATTAATATCAACAACTAAGATCATGGAGGGTTACCAAATATTGTCGATCGTTTTGTATCTAGGTTTGCCACCCGGGGAAACCGTCTATTTAAATCTGGCCGTGTCGTCTGCCATCTCACAATGCTCATATAACGGAAATCCTCTGCAAGTCGGCACGAGCAGAAACAGCAAGTGGATATCACTTAAGAGCACTAATCTCAACATACGAGCGACACTGGAACGGCACTACTTGTTTCGTAAGTTATTTAAAACATTTAAAAATTGCTTTATTGCAAATATATTATATTCTATATGTTTTATTACGAGTTTAACGTTTTGGTTCTTGGAAGTGTCAGATATCATTGACAAATTTTGTTAATTCTATCATCAATGGCGATCTTGAAATTTCAATGGCTTGGACATAACATATTAGGAACTGTAACAATAAAATTAAAGACTTAAATTAGTGATTATTGTTTTATTTAAATCTTATTTAAATTAATTTTGATATTTTCTTCTTTTACTTAGAAAACAGCCGCTCAGAGTTGTCATTTATCATCCACCCCTAAACGCCGAAAAAAAATATAATCACCAAAATGGATAATGATTCTTCTTAAAGGTATGGATTATCATTTAATGTAACTCGAATGACCAACTATTTATTTACATTTAGTCTTTAAGTTGTCGATGCAGGACTCCTAGTGTTCAGTTGATTCCCGTATTGGTTTGATTGAACCTTTTTTGTTTTGGGGATATTTTGGTTGTCAGCATCTGTATGAACATGCCGGTTCTGAACATAAAAGCGGATAGTTGGTTATATTTTCATCCGATATTTTGAATACAGAAATAACATTTTGTCTTTGAGTCCCACGCTAATGGAATGAATGGTAATATCATATTAAAACTAATATTGTTTTTACTATGACTAATCCCATTAGTCTGTCCAGAACAAAAGAACATTTACAGACGATAACCTCCATAAGATGGTAACATTAATATATATCAGAAACTACAATAATTCAATGGGTCATGCTAACATGGTAACATAGACATGTAAATAATAATAACACAGAGCTATCAATTCCAAAATAACAACGATTTTGGTTTACTAGTTTAAACAGTTGCTTATACTTTATATCTGAATTCCTTGTAATAGATTGATGAAAACCTTTCCCGCAATTGTATAATAAAATAATTATAATATTCATGAGATGGTGGATCCAATAATATTTACTAACTAAACTTTACTAAATATTTTATACCTGTGCATAGTTTTTAAAGACACTACTGTTCTTAATGTGTTTAAACTTTAATCATCCCTAAATAGGTTGCTTTTTCTCCAGAATTCTCTGTCAATATTCGATCTGAAACAAAATGTCTCTGCAAGTCTGATTTTACTGAACAATTCATGGTCTTAAATATTTAATACTCATCTTAAATTTAAATTTTGGCAGATTTTGAGTCAGCATGTCCTTTCATATGCTTTGTCTAACCGTTTCTTACAGCTTGATTACAACATTATTCAAACTCGTAACGCCTTACTCTTTCTCGAGCGTCATATACCACTACTTATTTAGGTCTAATAGGACATAACGTGCTTAGACATTTTCTTTTTATTGTGGGATAACAATATTTCATGTTATTGAAACAATTACTGCTTTATGAAATAAGGAAAATGGAAAATAAACACTACATACAGAGGATTAGGTTCCAAAATGTCTATCTAATTATATCCCAATTTTGTTTCGATTTATTTCCTGACATCAGAACTTAAACGAAACGAAAATTGACATTTGACCAGATTGATGTAATGGTAGTATGATATAAAGAGAAACATTAACAATGATGTAAGCTATCCATATGTCTATAATGATATTATGGCACCAATATTCTATCCATACCATTATAATAATATAGCACCAATATTCTAAACTTTCCATACCATTATAATTATATTATGGTACCAATGTTGTAAACTATCCATATGTTTGTAAGGATATTATGACATCTATTTTCTAAACTATTCAGTTGATTATAATGATATTATGACATCAATGTTCTAAACTATTCAGTTGATTATAATGATAATATAACATGAATGTTTTAAACTATTCAGTAAATCATTTGGATGTTATGATATTATATCAACAACATTTTAAACTACCCAGTTGAATATTATGACATTTTGTCGTGACGAAAAGCACATCAACTATATTCTAAATCATGTATTCAATATAAAAATATTTTGACATGCAGTAAAAAAAAAACTGAACAGTATCTTAAACTATTCTGCATTTGAATAAACCGACGCAAAAACGAAATGACGATGTTTTAAATCATTCAGCTGAATATCACACTTATTTACCAAACTATCGCTGAATGAATGAATAACAGCATGAGTAATTCACGGTTCCTAATAAACTATAGTAACTTCATGACAATAACGTCTTCGGTATGATTCCTTAATTTGCCATGAATTAGGACTGATAACTAGCCTAATGAATAATTTTCTCACAAAATTAGTCAAACAAACATGCAATAGCTATTGTTGTGTCGTCTCGTTAATATTCATAATCGATAGGCCAAAGGTTGCTGTTTGCGCTGCTGGTCAAATGACAAAATATGACAATGTGATGGATTTCAGTCAACATCTGGCACGTGGGGTCAACTCATGCACACACTAGAGCAACAGAAGTGGTAGCATTGAGCAAAACTATGACTTAGTCTGTTAGAGCGGCTTAGGGAGACGTTGTAAAAAGCAGTAAATTATTTAACTACTGGTTTGTCATATTTTTCAACTTGAACAACCGGAGACATCTTAGCATTCCTGCTGTTATCATATTTTTTTGGAATATATTAACACTTCTAAAGAGAATTAGGTATGCACTCGCTAAAGAATGATAAAATGTTGTAGAATATTAAAAATAAATTTGATAGAATTATGAAATTTCTCAGAATGTTACACAAAAAGAGAATTGTGGAGAAAAGAAATTTGATTGGAAAACGGAAGTCGCACAAAATAATTAAAAATAGTAAAAAATGTCTAGCCTAGCTAAAAAGTATTAGTTGAAGAGAAAAGAAATAATATTTTTCAATTAGAATTTTCTTTAGGTATGATATGCATTGTATGGGTTGTCATATCTCGATGAAGAGTTATATATAAATGCTGAGTTAACAAAAGTGATGTCGTGTATGAATGATTATAATTATAATGTTTGTTCTTTCCTACGTTTCATTTATTTGAAAAGTTCACATTGAATGCTTTGTTGTTATTTTACAAGCATCAAGAGATATGTATAAGAACAATACGATGAACAATGGATGTTATTATGTCCCTTGTAAATCACCATGATCAATATCACACTGAATATAAATTGAAAGATTAATTACTCTTCAAATCTCCAGACGAACTTGTTCCTGATATAAGAACATTATTCGCTCCATGTTGGTTCCAAGCTTCCATATTGTGGTAATCCCATGTCGTGTATTATATTACTCTACAGTTATTATTTCTTCAATAGATTTTGATGAACTGCCTTTATTAAAGAAACTGATTATAGGGAGGGAGATCATTGACGCGATTATTATGGGTATTATTGCATATATATACAAGATGGGCATTAAAAGGCTTTATATACAAGACTACATGATTTTTTTTAACAGTGATCTGTTTAATTAAAGAGGCGTTAGCACTTAAGCAGTCTTCTTTGGCTAATAAAATATAAAAAAAAATGTTTTGTGTGATTTGACAATATACCGGAGATTTTAATTAGATCGTATTGGAAATTTGAGACAAAATTCCATCTGCCAAGCTATGTCCGAGAAATAGACGACTTAACAAATATTTTAGTTGCTTTCAAAGGATTATTAACCATTGGTCGTGAAAAATAAAAGTAAGAACTTCGTCTATACTTCATTTTAAACCTTTTGCCGCGGTTCACGGAAATTCTGAAATATTTTACCATTAATGAAAAATAAACTACTAATTATCTATACGTATAGCTATTATTACAGTATTTTTTATTCTTAGCGTCTTGATATCAATTTTCTAATATTATTATTAAAAAATTTTGGATATATTTTGGATGTAACATGAATACAGGTTTGGATTTTTACGCCTGTGGTCTAATTTTTGCCTGTACTGTAAATTGGAATTTGGTTCGAGATCATTTTAAAAGATTAGCATTTTTATGATAAGAAGAATCGGAGGGATGAAATGGAGACGGGCTCGCAAACTCGTCTTCAATACAATATCATTTTTCTCATCAGAGAGGAAGAAATCCTGTAACTAAATTTGACAGATTCGTTATTTGCAGAAACATGGTGACAGATTGCGTTATGGAAAGAGGTCACACGCCAATGCGTGTCTCGTGCATATTAAGGCGACCCCTGGGGAATAACGGTTTATTCTCTGTCAAATTATTCCGTGCCTGCAAAACGATTCCTTTTTGGAAATAAAGTAACCATTTCTTGGCATTAAGCGAATATCTCATGCCATGGATTATTTGCCAAGATAGTTGTATTAAAAAAAAGACAAAAAAAAAAAAAAAAAGATCCCTGAACACGGATTGTCTGTTACTATTAGAAACAGAAATTAAATTACGACTTTCTCAAATTATATTAGCCTCTTTCACTCTATAAATAGATTTATTCCTTATTGAATTGATCTAAAGAATAGACACTGTTTGTATGCTATTATTGGATTTATTTGTTGAACAATTCATTTAATTGTCCACTTCTTCTTCCTCTTATTGGTATTTTTTTTTAGGAATCTTTTGATTTTAGACGTACACACAATGAGCTTTTATGGTCTTTATTTAATCCGTAATATTATGAAATTGGAAATTGTATATCTTTCAAAAAGGGTTGAAGACACAAAAAGCCACATCGTTCACATTTATTTTTAGAAAAATTCGAAAAAAAAAGAAGAAGAAAAAATGAAATGAAATAAAGTGGGCTTTTACATTCTACTGTCCTACTCCGACTTGGGCTAATGAAGACGGGCATAATGTCATACAGTGAATGTGCTAAGATGGAAATATTGCTCGGACAACGGCGCTGCGGCCTACACTTGTATCAAATTCCAACTGTCAAGATTTTTTTATAGGTACACGCCTATGTGTACATGGGATCTCGGGTTTTCGTTCCACCCGAACGACTATACGGACCCTCTGTCCTGCACCACTGAGAAGGGGCGGGGGGGGGGGGGATTCCGGAAATCCTGATGAACTTTCTTGACAAGCACCGGGATCGAACACGGGACCCCCAGGTTAGCCAGCCAACGTCTTACTGGGCCACCGCGGCTCCCTAAAAATTCGAGAAAAAAAATCAGTAGTAGCATATATGTTACTGTAATGACTTGTTATTATGTAATTAAACACATCTATAGGAAATTGTCTAATAGAATTAAAGATGGTGGTGTGAAACCAACAGAAACCATTATAAACTTAAAATAGCCATAACTTAAAGCCGCTAATCGCCATTGAGGGAGTTTGATTCCCTTGCAAACGACAATATTGTTATAAACTATTTATTTTTAGCGACTTTTCTAAGAGTATATTATCAACATTATCAATACTGAATCTTTGAAAGGGATATCAGTCCAAAATGAAAATTTCA